AAATAGTATTTGTATAGCACAAATTTTACTCAACAGCAAACTCTACGCGCTTTACTATGAATGGTGAAATTATGTAGTGAAATTTTCATTATTAATAGTATCATTCTTTTCAGAATACAAGAGAGAGAGAGAGGGTTCTTTGTCTATTGATGTTACACTCATTAATATTCTTGTAAAGCAGGTGTCTCAAACTTTCGACCCGTGGTTTCAGTAGGGGCCCCTAGGTTGTCAGTGGATGATAAAGGTTAGAAGAGAAAACAGTACACAAACCGGCAGTAGGCAAAGGGAATCTTCTGCTGTAATCTCCCAAGAACAATCACGGAAGCTAACACTCATTTCTCAGAAAACTGTGTTAAGGGGGTTCATGTTCCAGCTCTGAACTCCTCAATCGGAAGGTACCAGTGGTGCCCGATCGCCATCCAGCTACTAGCTGCAAAACTAGAATTAAACCAAGGGTATATGATAACATCTGATGTCAAATATTCCACAGAATTAAAACGGAGAATTGCCATGGCTAAGGCCTGTTTCAATAAAAATGAGCCCCATCCTGAAAAATAAAGACATCTCAATGACTACCAAAAAGGAAAGTTCTGAAATGCTATGTATGTTCAACCCTTCTTTATGGCTGTGAATGCTGACCGATCTCTAAAGACAGTGAAAATGCTATAGAAGCAACAGAAATGTGGTTTCTTGCGAGCCTGCTGAGAATATAGTGGAAGGAAGAGAAATCAAATGAGATAGTGCTTGCTGAAGCCCACATCGGATGTTCGCTGTTAAAAACAACCAGGAAAAGATAAATGCAGTTTTTTAGGACACCTGAATAGACATAAAGGTCTTGAACATCTAGCTCTCTCTGGCAAAATTGAAGGCAAACGAGGCAGGGGGTAGGCACAGAGCAATCTACTTAAGGAACCTAAACAAATGTGTAACGGGGAGTGGAATGAATGCAGAACCGCGATAGCTTATGTCTGCTGCAAATCTGGCACAGGATGATGATAATGATTTTTCAAGATGCTTTCCCCTTTAGATCAAATTTTGTCGTTCAAATGTCTGTTGTTAAAGGGTGGGGGTGGGGGCGAGGCATGAATTTGGGTTCGAACAGCAACATTAAACACGTCGATTATTCCCATTTTTGAAACAGGAAAGTACTGAACGAGACCCTGGAGAAAACATTATATTATTATTATGACTTTTGGCAGTAAACAAAAACGGTAAATAAATTCTGTATTCCTTAACAATGACTTTTAAAGACGGTAATCCCAAAACCGGGTGAAAACATAACCACCAAAGATGTGAGAGGCTGGATGAAGTTTCTTTGTGTTATTTATTGACAGATGTCCCATTTTTATATTAACCATTAGTGTTGTCCCTGTCTCAGGGAAATACAACTCTTTCACATATCGGGGTAATCAGCTTCACGCAGTCTGTCCCCTCTACTCAACGTCTATCTGCCTCCGACTTCCTGAGATGCCTGCCTTACAAACGCGGAGAGCGAGGGTGCTTTTGATGGACGGGAGTGTGTCATATCCGGCTATCGTGAACATGAAATTTTCAGATGGTGCAGAGGCGATGTCCTTCAACTCCTGGTCGTCTACATAAGGGCCCACTCCTGGAGATGAAAATGATATATTATAATTTTTATCTATTATAAACCTGCCATCATTCTTTGGAGAAATGGGTGGGGATGGGAAGATGGGAAAATATTTCATTCTCCACAGCAATTGTGTGTCTGTAATAAGGATTCAATTTTTGCTCTCTAGTTGAGGCACAGCAGAAGCCACAAGCCATATTAACCTTAAATTCTTTCACTATGTCAAGTTTGCTTGAGAAATATTCTCCTCTGCAAATATTATGTTGGTCTTCGTCACACATTGACGTTCGAGCTGTTACTATCATTATTAGTTTTGAGGTAGGGTGTATTACTTCTTCACAGTCAGCTGATGATGGAGATAATCAGCCTGCCCACACTGAAATGGACCCTTATGAAGAGGGGCGAGGAAGCATGGAGCAGTACGTCTTCCTAAGACCCCCAGCTCTACATTTCAAGTATTCAAGTAAGCAAGTCAGGATGAGCTTTATTTTATCACAAAATTGCAGAGGTCTTCATTTTTCCATGTGGACACCATTACTTCTTATTAATAGTACTGGATAGAGGTATTTATTAGCTCTTTCTTAATTGACTTCTTATTAATTTTTTTTTAGCTGCTGAAAATAATGCCTGGGCATGTCACGTATTCGTCTTAACACCGAGACACCAAGGGAAATTAGTGTATCTTGCATGGTATTGTTTGGGTTAAAGAGTTATCTTACTTTGTTCGTCAGGTCGTGAAATGAGTTTTGTTGTCAAAGGGGTCAAAAAGGTCAAAATGTCTGAATTTGTTGGTCCTTGAAGAACTGAGGGGTGGGAGGCAGAGTGGAGTCGAGGGTGGATCGTCTTGCCTTACCACACCTTATCTTGAGATTCGATTCCAGGGTAGACTCAGTGTCTCCACACACAGGTAGAAGTCACACACACACACACACACACACACACACACACACACACACACACATACACACACACACACACTCACACACGCAAACAAACCGACACATACAACACAGTCACATTTTTCCTCGAATGCAAAGGATGTTTGTCTAGGCATGTTCTTTGCATCATCATCATCTGGTGCCTTGTCGACTGACATGGGCGATCATGAACCTCCACTTCACTCTGCCTTGCGTTGCAGCGATGGTGTTCTTGCTGTTCCCAGCCTTGTTGTCAACTTGTCCAGTATCTTTTCCCTCTGTCTGCCTTTGCATCTCTTTCCATCAAAACTTGCCTGTTCTTACAATATTGTCCAATGCTTATTTCCGCATTGTGTGTCCAATGAACTTTGCCTTTCGTTTTCGTTTATTCGTTATAAGTTGTCGTCTGCAATTTGCTTCAGCCAAGACTTCTTCGATTGTTTTTCTAGCTGGGTATGGGATACTCTTTGCATATCTTTGCTATGTTGGCCTCCTGTTACGAATATCACCAAGTCAGACAGCCTTGAGAGCCTACAGCACCAAGTGCTCAGGCTTATAAAGGAAGAGCTAGGCTAGGCAAAAGATGAATCATGGATTCAAGGGAACCCTGGGAAATTATAACATCCGTATTAAAAGGGCTCCCGAATTGGCCTACCATACAAAAAAAACCCAACTGTGTCCCTTCGACAATTAACAGCACAAGAGGATGAAAAAGTAAATATTATATCTATTCAGATAAGAGCAGTCGTCACCATTTGGCCGATCAAACAGAATCGGGAGAAAATATCATCGAAGTGTTACTGTTATTAGCAAACAGTAACCTGTGGCAAACATAACAATATGCAACTGCATAAGCAGATACTGACCTATAGCAAACATAAAGATCCCCGAGTCTTTGAGCGCTTTGGCCTGAGCGCGAGTGTCCGGGGAGTTCTGTGAACGGCCGTCGGTGATGACTATGACAACATGGGGCACATTTGACCTGGGAGGCACAGAGTTGGGTGGGAGAAAGAAAAGGTAACAGGTAAACAGACGGTGGAGAACTACATTAATAATATAATGTCTTTTGTTTCGTTTTGTCTTTCTAGAAATATGCTCAGATCGCCACGCTCTTTGGAGATGCAGCTGAGCAGTTGTTACTTCACACATTCCTGTATAATTTTTGTAATTTCCGAGAGTACTCTTCATCACAGACCAGTAAATGTCACCTTTGTAAAATGTATTTATTGGACGAAATATTACCAGTATAAAAAATACTTGGAAGGTAGCACAATGCTCATTCCTTAAAAAGTAGCTTTTTCGCGATCCCACTTTTTTTTCTTTCATTTACAAGAAGCATACGTACTTTGGTAAAGCTGGCTGTAATTTTTGCTTCTGCCTAGTTTAAAGCAGAAATTCTGTCAGACACAAATCAAGACGGCAACATCCATGCACACACACTGGCTCATACACACGTAAGAGCATATAGAAACACTTGTCGACATGAGCAAACTCAGACAAAAAACAGACGAGCCTTTGTGCCGTCCATTCGTTTCTGCTATTTTCTGCCCGTCTTTTGAAGTACTGCAATTTAAACAAAAGATAAAGATAAAACTATTAGAAGTGAATGATTGGCGGTACTCTCGTGTGATTTGCTCTTTTTTCTTATCTAACATCTATCGCCATTATCTCTCTCCTTTTTTTCGAGTTGGTCACTCCCTTGTAACATCTGTATTCTTCGGCACTTATATGACCTAATTGAGTTGTAAGTGCTGTAAAACTCTTACGAAAACTAAAAGTAAAAAGACGAAGGTATACCTGACGCCATGTTCTGAGATGAGCACCGAGTCGTTGACCAGTTTGAGGGCATCGCCTGTGTTGGTGCCACCTCCGGTGTAGCGAATCATCTCCACGTGATCTCTCACGTCCTTCTGATCATAAAACTCGTCAAGATGGAACTCCACGGTAGCGTTGGTGCTGTTGTGTGGGGGGAAAGGGGGGGGGGGCAAAGAGGGTTTGGGGTCGTGCAAATTTAAACAAGAGAAGAAGACTGATATAAAAGCAGACAACGTGTAGAGAGGAGATTGGATAAAAATTGAAATTGAGGGCTCATATTTTTTTGAATTAATCAATTGATTAAATTTATTTATTTACTTATTTACTTATTTATTTGTTCACTTGTTCAGTTGTTTATTTATTTGTTGTTTTTAAAAATGTATTTATTTACTGTAATTAACATCTATTATTCACTAGTTTTGTGATCCACTGTTATCTGGTTAGTGCTCAGACCAGTTTGAGGAGATGTCTTGGTGGACAAATGGAGGCATCCATAACTAGTACACATCATGATTTGCTTGGACAAACGATAACAAGCAGCCATAATTAACTTCTTCTATTCAAATTGGTTTAGCACGAATCTTAACCGTAGCCACTACATGTAAATAAAGGGGACAAGTTGCCTCAGTCCCTTCCCCGAGACATCGTTTGCCAAAGGGTAGGGTAAGCTACAACATGTTTACACTGTTAAATTTGTCAAAGAAGGCCACCAACTGCCATGGAAAAAGATGATTGGCGTAGACAGTTAGATATCTTTGACAGTATCTGTGTGGTGAAATGTAACAAGGAAAAGTGGCAGTGTCTCTGGACTACCTGAAGGAGACGGCGGCGACTCTGGTCTTGTGTCTGCCAATGTGAAACATCTTAATAAGGTTTGATACAAAGGCCAGTTGTTTCTGAAAGTCCAACATGAAGATACTGCTGGACATGTCCAACACAAACACCACTTCCGCTGGCTTATGATGGCAAGCTGAGGGTGGGAATATAAGGGACTTATCAGTGGGCTGGAAAGGAACGAGGGGGGGGGG